TATTCCTAATATCTTTATTTACACAGCTGAATCTGATAAGTTTTCCAGGTGATGTTTTCAAACTTTCAGTATCAATGATGATGATTACTGTCAGACCTAGAGTAAAATGTTGCTAGGAGTGAGAAAACAGTATTTTACCAAGCGGGTGGCTACTGACATGAAAGGGAGAAATAAATTTGATGAATAGCACTGTGAAATATTGGAAATTTCTGCTTATCCATACTATTGTCATCTTTGTGGTGAGCTAGCTGCCTCCTGGCTAGACTTCTGTTTTATTAAGCATTTTATTTGGTAAATGAGGTATTAGTATGTACCGTGTAAAATATCATTGCTGACTGTATAGTGACACCCCCTCTCAAAAGGTGCATGGGCAAAGCATTAGTGAATAAAATAGAAAATTCCAGCAATGTTCTGTTGGACGGGCAGCACCAAGAAGATGTATGAGATCATAATAACCTTGAAGAGATATCAGCTGGTAATACAGTTGTCAGCAAAGCAACAACAATGTGGCAATAGGATGCCAACAAGGACAGCTTTATTGATATGTCCATGTAGCAAATAATTAAAATAGAAATGCATTTGAGGAACTATACAAAACCCTAGCTAGGTGAATGGAAGCTTCATCAGAATTCTGATCCAATCACTGTCAGACCAACCTCTTCAACCCTGAACTTAATTTGCAGGTAGGAATCATGGAAAACCCTCACTAGATAGAAACATGCCATAGTAATCATAATCTGAACAGTTCATGGATTTGGTTACTTTGATTTTCTCAGGAAGTGATTAGACTAGCCGAGGAATAAAGTAAACAAATCCATGAAATTTAAGCACTTCAAACCTGTTTTTCTGTTTTGTATAAGAAAAATGGTGGTTTACTACTTTCATGTAGTCCCAAGCAGAATTTGCCCCCACTTGTTTTTATGGTCCTTTCCTACCTCTTACCATATATTTTTATGTAACACAAACAATAATGGTTAGAGATACAAGATTAATCTTACGTGATTGTGCAGTAGACTGCTTCCTGAAAGCAAAATAAAAAGATACATTTTGTTTTAAAATAAACTTTTTCTTTTTGAATGGTTTTTCAGAGGTAAATTTCTATCCCTGTATACACAGGCATGGTTTTATCTGCAGTCTTTCTCTGTGCAACTGTGTTGAAAGCAAAAGACTTTTTGCCTAGGAATAATTAGAAGGAGCCTGGCCAGTGCCAAAAAAGAGCTAAAGATTAGGTAAAAGCTAAAGCTTAGCTAAAGCATTTATTTTCCCTTGAAGGTTTTATATTTAAAATTATTTAAATTTACATAGTCCTCACATATTTCATAGGATCCACATAGTCCTTCATGAAGAGCACAGAGTTGACACTGTTAAGAAACAGACTTCCTACTTGCAGCTTGGATATTGCTTTATTTTGTTTTGCCTTTGTCTTTGCTTTGATTAATTTCTTTCATTCCAAGTTATTTGTTGTATATGCTTGTCTGGTGTAGAGCATTTTTTTGAGGCATTTGCAAGTTGAGTGATTTTATCTGTCCCTTTTATCACCACAAGCACAGTTCCAATACCACAGTTTAGCTCTTGTGACAGTGCGCTTGTGAGAAAGACTGTCTATCCTGACCTCTGGGTCTGCTTTTCTTCCGATGTGAGAGAAGGCACTGAATTACCTGAACTGATGATTCAGGGTGATGGTGAGGCATGCTGCTGAAAAATACATATGGGGTGAGCTGAAATCTGTAATTCCTGGAGGTATTCAAAAGACCCATCGATGTGGCATTTGAGGATATGACTTGGTGGACTTGGCAGTGCTGGCCTCAGTGGCATTAGAGGTCTAAAGTATTCCATGCTTCTATCTCACTGGTAGCTGTAGTGCCTGTCTGGTGGTGCTGTGTAGGGCTGCAGAGAAGGAAGGAATCTGCAGCAGGCTTCTCCAAATGGGTGAGATCCATGGTTGGACTATATATTTTTTTATTTTAAAAATATTTTTTTTATTTTCTGAGGCAAATAGGCATAAAGCCTGCAGCCTAATAGGAAGATATATTTTAATATGTACATCAATTAAAACTGATTGTTGTACCACTATTTGCCATTTAAGAGAGTTTGCACCACATCAGCTACTTATAAAGAAATTGCAATTAAGCAGGGATAGGTTATAACAATAGAGCCTCATTAGTCTAAAATACCTCTGTGCATGTTCTAATGAGGAGCTTAACACATTGTACAAACAGCACCTAATGAAGTTAATGCCACCCTTGAGAGCTGAGTAACAGTAGACCTGTATTTACAATTACATTAAGTGAAACTTGAAGATCTGAGGGTATTTGGGGAAGGTTAAAAGAACTCGACTGATTTCAATCTAGTCTCTGTTACCAATTAATGCTGAGTGTTTAAAAAGCCTATTCAAGCAGCCCATGTCATTCAAATAAGTGAGGTAGGGAGAGCCTTCAAAATGTCAGCTCTTCAATTTGACCAGAAATACAGGATTGTGTCCTTGAAAACCATTCTACTTTAGATGAATTACATAAAGCTGTGGTTTGGATCAGTTTGCAGTAGATAGTATCACTTAAAGGAGCCAAACCATGGTAATTTTAGTCTGTCCATGTCTGCATGTATTCCTCAGATGATGATAACTGGGTTTAGGTTTTTAGCAACCTTTTTTACAAATCTGTTTTAATATTCTTGTGGCAAATTTTCCTATCCCTTGAATGAAGGTGAACAAATTTAAAACAAATTAGTGCATCAAAGTTGACAACTTTGTATCACTATTAGTATAGCTAGAAATTTGTATCAGCAATTACTATATCTAGAAACATGTTTGAAATTATAAAGAAGTGCTTTTAAAATCTTTACTAGATCTAGCATAATATAGCAACCCTTTTTTACTTTCCAGTGCTAACATAGTTTATTATTAAAAATTAGAGGAATTGAAATATTCATCAGATCATTAATCTCGAGTATGGTATATTCTACAGTGAAGGATAAAATATGTGGTAAACTACCTGTTAAGCTAATAGCATAAGAAGTTGTTGATTTGTGCAAAACAATCTTTTATGTTGAAACCTATGTTTTGTAAGTCAGTTTGCTATGCCAAGCTATAAATTTGTTATTGGTAGTATAGTAGGACCCTAAGTGAACAAAGGCTGTTTATACTTAAACAGAAGATGTAGCTTAGTGTTCCAGTAGAACTGGAAACAGTTCTTCAAGGCTTTTAACATCTTTAACTTCATTAATGTTATTTTCAATTACCAGCAATTAAAAATTATAATAAATATTACCTATTGATTTGCTGAATAATCTAATCTGGTAGTAAGTTATTTGTGCTAATGAAAGAGAATATCAGAAATATTTTATTTTCTCAATTGCTAGTTTTCTTGGTAACCTTTAACATTTTTGTCAGTTTTATATCTGAAAGATTAAATTAAGCCTCTGCAGTCATACTTTGAATCAATTTTGATTCATAATCAGTATTGTTGCATAGTTTAAGAAGTTTGTTTCTTATGCCCACCATACTAAGACTATGTCAATCCTGTGTGGTAGAATCATGACAGTTGGAAAAATTGGAAAAGACCTCCACGATCATCAGATCCAACTCACGCCTGAACACCACCACGACAAATAAACCATGGCACTGAGTGCCATGTCCAGAGTCTTCTTGACCACCTTCAGGGACAGTGACTCCACTGCTTCCCTGGCCAGTCCATTGCAATGCTTAACATACCTTTCAGTGAAAAACTTCTTCATGATGTCCACCTTGAACCTCCCCTGGCACAGCTGGAGGCTGCATCCTTTTGTCTCTAAAATAATGTCTTTAAAAATGCTGTTTACAAGTCGCTGTTTTATACCAGGTTCTAGAGGTGTGAGGATGACTTTGCACATATAAGCAGTTTTCACCAGCAGATTTGCTTCCTGTGTATTGTTAATCATGCAAGCACTGGATTTGTTATTTACCTAAGATGCTGAAGCTAGCTTTTGGGTATAGCCTAGTTCCTGAGTTTTTCATGAGAAACCATGATTGTAATGTGACTCTTCCATGATCATCTGCAATTGCTGTCTTGAATGCTTCTCTGTGAACTTTATTTAGGCCTCCAGCAATAAGAAACCAATTTTCTAAATTCTTTTGAATCTTCTAATGATTACACCTTCACTGTCTCATTATCACTCTTATTCTTCTGATACAGTCTGCTGTATGTTAATGGCTTAGCACTGTATACACTTTGACCTTGCCCCCTTCAGTAAAATTTCCTGTTGACTCAAACCTTTATTCTTTGCCTTCTAATGTGTCTAACTTTTCTCTGTGTGTATCTGTGTCTGTGTGTGTGTTTTTTCCAAGAGAAAATTACCATATTTTGTGGGTTAGCTGCCATTTTAATACCAAAATTTCCTGAAAATACTATGTGTTTCCCCCTGCCCCCTCCCTGGTATGTACTCAAGACTTATAGAAGTTAGACTATTATAGACTGCTATTTTGAAATGAAGACAAAATGGAATAAGCCATTTGGAAAAACTAAACTTTCTCTTTGTGTGCGGTGAACATATGATATTTATCAGTGAGTAAACTGGAAAAGGTTCAGGAAACAAAAGGTCATGTTCTGTTTCCTACAGTCTACGTTTTGTTTTCCATTTAATCTGCAGTGTAAATTATTTTCAAACCTATTTCTTTGAATTAATAAAATGAGAGGTCTCTTACAGGCTTTAAGTTAATATGTAGTTGAACAACACACATTATCACTAGAGTAGACTAAGAATTGGATTATTTTAGACAACAACAGATAAAATAGACAGAACATACCTCTTAAGCCCACTAGGCCAAAGTTTCGTTTTCTGATCTAATGTTGCCTCAAGAAAGAGATTTGATAAAGATCAGTACCATTCACACGAATGATGAGGAAAAATCTGATTAAAAGAAAAAAAAAATCTTTTGAAACTTTATGCTGTTTTTTTTTTATTGTTTTACAAAATTTGCTGCCCTCAGTGGTTATTTTCCTGTCCTGTGCTTCTATATTTTTCAGGCAGAAGTACTACATATATGGGCGAACAGCACCATCTAGCGGGTCTTGCCACCACGGTGTCTTGTGCTGGGGGCATTTGCTCTTCTCTTCCCGCGGAGCCGCATCATGGACCCACACCTGCTCTTGCTGGTGCTGCATCTACCAGTTCCCATCTGCTGGGGATGTGGCCTAATGCAAATGATAGACTGCAGATCCTGCAGTCAATCTGTGAGGTGTTACGCAGAAATTTAGTGCATGACGTTTCTGCAGCCTGGCGTGGGCTCAGGATCTTTAAGGGTTCATTGATTTATTTAATTGTTTAAAAAAGTATTCTGATAACATATCATTTAAAAGCATCCTGTTCAAATGTTCCCCATTTGAGAATGCTCTTGATTATCTCTGCAGTGCATTTATGAATATTAGCAGAGCCATTCAACAATGGTCTTTCTTTCAAAGAAAACTTTTTCCACTCTGAGTCATTCACCCTTCTGACTCTCATGAAGTGCCTTAAATGTAGATTATTTTTGCAAGAATTTAAGGTAAAGCTATTAAGTGGTTGAGCCAAGAATGATGGAAAAATAAGGAAGTTGATATCTGAAGGCAGCCAGATGCCAAAACAGATGCTTAGTAATTTACTTTTCGCGATTTATTTATTAGTTTTAGTGCAAAATCAAGACATCTATAAACAGAAGGAAGTTCAATAAATTTGTCCTAAATTTTTTGTATGTGGCTTTTTACTCAATGTTGTCTATGTTATGTGTCAATATTGCATTTTCTACATTTGAGATTACTGGATAACAGATTGCATATGTCTCAGGTATGAGTATTTGTGAGAGCCTGATACATAACCTGTGTCTTATTTTGTGATTACTATGTTTGTTGCTTGTTGTTTATGAGGGAGACTGTAAAAGTTAAGGTGAAGAATTCATAGAATCAGAATCATAGAAAAGTTGGAAAGGGCCTTAAAGACCATCTATTTCCAGCCCTCACATCACAGGTGGGGGCATATTACATGAAATCAGATTGCTCAGGGCCCCATTCCAACCTGGTCTTGAACACTTCCAGGGATGGGGCATTCACATCTTCTCTAGGCAACCTGTTCCAGTGCCTTGCCACCCTCACAGTAAAGTATTTCTTACTTAAGAACAGATATACTTAATAGTGAGTGTGAAACTCTTAATGTGTTTCCCATTAAATGTTTCAGATTTCTTCACATGCACAGATGCACTTAGTTTTGATACTGCCTTCTTCCTCTGCAACTCCCCTTAGTAATAAAGATGAAGAAGTACGATAGTGGCAGAACATCTTGAGAGACTGAACCTCTGGATGTAAATCTGCATAAAATCTTACAGCAATATTCAGCTGGAAACACAGAGCTTGCATATCTAAGTGAAACGTCACTTGAAACCTCACTTGAAGCTGGAGAAAGAGAAGTGACATAATGTTGTGGTTTCACCTCAGCCAGCCACCAACTCCAGGCAGCCGTTTGCTCATCCCCTGACAGCGGAGAGAGAATCAGAAAGGTAAAGGTGAGAAAACTTTTGAGTTGTGATAAAGATGGTTTTGATGCCTTAAGTTTTAGCTTTCATATTTTCAAAATTCTGTACTGCCTTAGTGTGTGACTCTGAACTTCATATAAAGTGTTAGCAAGTTCTCTTCACAGGCTAGTTAGACAAAAACAATCCTTCCCAGCCTGAGAACCAAGTATACGTTGCAGCATCAGGCTCAAAATTGTAAGCAGCAGAGAGTTGAGAAGAGCAGTCTGGGAGGATGTGACTTCAAAACCTGAAGATCTAATTGGACAATTAACCCCAATATGGAAATGGACCAAAGCCTATAATAGTGTGAAAACTCATGACCCCAAACTCACTTTTAAATCCTTTAGGACCAAAAGTATCTGAACAAAATTTTATAAATTACACTTTCTTGAAGGAGATGGATAGAAGAGGGGTCAGAAATATCAATTTTGCCATAAAATGTGCTGAAGTGTTCTACTTTACCTTCTTTTCACCAACATCTATCTGTTTCTGAACTCATGACTTTTGGAAGTTTCTGCAGTGTTTGACTTTATTTTCTAATCTGGAGACTGATTTTTTTCTTCCCAGAAGATTTTTTTCTTCTCTACATAGTGAGTAGTTGTGCCTCTTGCCTTCAGGTAGTCACAAAGTCCATAGTCAGGGTTCTGGATGGCTAGAATAGCTGATTGCCCATACTTAAATAATATTTAAACTACACATTTTGTGCTTTTGCTTCTAAGAACAAGCTTTGTATGAGAAAAGTACTGAGGAAATTAAAACAAAGATTGAGTGTGCTTAAGCTCTGTTTCATCGTAAGTGCTAAATTTCATAATTTAGTTTCTATAGATACAGGACCAAGTGTCTTTTTAGTGAATGTTTTGTGTCCTGTGATGGCTCCTTTGACCTTGACACAGCTAGAGTGTTGAGGCTGGAAGAAACTTGGCTTCAAATTTTCCAAATCTGACAATTAGTATATTCTTTTCCTCTGTTAAATTGCATCCTTATTTCTTCTTCAAGCAGTTTTTCGACTTGTAAGAGGCTACAGTCCTTTTGCCACTGAAAAAGAAAATATCTGGTATTGTCTTGATTTTTTTCCTGAGGAAAGTAGTTCTTCAGATACTTCAGTGTTAAAAGTAAAGTCTCATCCACTGTATTTTTCATTCTTGTTGTTATGGTAACAACTAGATGAGCTTGTGTGTGCTAGGAAAGACTTGGAGCTGTTTTGATTTCCTATTATGTTTGCTTTTATTGTATGAAGCTTTTGTGTGCAGGAAGGCAGAAGGGTGTCAGCACACTTCTTTCAGCAAGAACACCATTGGCGAGAAGGAACTGTTAATTTTGGTAATGCTAGCAATGTTACTGAATGGACTTCATTGTAGTAAATACAAAACTCTTCCCTCATCTGCCAGTCAATCAAAATGCAGGCGATTATGTGCTGTTGGCAAATTGGCCTTTCAGCTCATCCCAAACCATGGAAATTAAATCCAAAATGTGCAGATGGTGATATGTAATCTCCAAGGCCTGTTATGAAGCTAGATAAAACTGCTAGCTGAACATGCCTGTGTTCACTTATCCTCAGAGGAGCTTCTGCTGGTATATGAAATTCATGATGCCTTGCTCTTATTCCAGGGTTCAGAATACCTAGTCTTTAAAAGGTTAAAGATTTGTTGGTGAAATGTGCAAGGAGTGTAATGAAGAAAGCAAAGCTGTCCTGGCCTGTGTTCCTTATACTGAGGGTACATAGGAGAGGCTGCACTGAGTCCTGTGTTGCTTTTTTGATATTGGGCTATGCAGTATCAAAAATGCATGCCTACCCTTTGAGACTTCAGCTTTTATTCTTGATAACTCATTCAGTGTCTGTACTGTCGTTTTGGTTCTTTGGATAAAAAGTGTGCTCTTGCTGTACTTAACAGAGTAATAGTCTCTTCAATTTTACATATAGAATTAGAAATGCCATTCTAAGCAGAAGTAATGGCTAGCTACACCTGTAAAATGTTTCTGTGTCTGAAAATGCAACTAATACTGACAAAAAAAGGTAAAGAATTTGAAAGAAGGATTTTTAATAGTGTACACAAGTGTATGGTTTGTGTAATTGAAATACTTTTTTTTTTTTCAATCAAATAGTTCCATACCTTGGATGATGGGGTGGAATGGGATTTCATTTTATTAGAATTTAGGGTGCAAACAGCGGAGGTTTGCTTGTAAAGTACTGTTCTCATTCTTGAATCTTCATATTTCTAGGATATGATTTCAACAATATAAAAGACAGAAGGAGAATACAGTCTATTAGTCTATCATGCCTTGGTGCACTGTTGGGAAAGTACAGGGACAAGAGTCTGGGCCACCTTGTGCACCAGTTACAGGGCTGTACTTGTGCCACATCAGAGGTGCAAGTTCTAGACACTGCACCTTGTACCTCAGGTGGTGCAGCATTAATAGAAGGCAGACATCCATGAAGGGAATGAAGGGATACTGAGGGGAGATTAGCTCATTTGTTCAGAACATGGTGTTAGTAACATCAAGGTTTGTGGATGCAATCCCTGTGTGGGCCATTTACTTACAAGCTGGACTTGATGATCCCTTTCAACTCAGAATATTCTGCGAGTCTGTTTGTGAGATAAGAGGGCCCGTGCTAGTTCCTGGGGAATCCACAAATGTGGTGTATGAATCTAGAAAACGGTGTGTGTCTATGTGTGTATGTCTCTGTTCACAAAGGTAAAGTCATCAGCTTCACCAGAGCACTCCTTTTAAAGAATGGGATGAATTCTGTTGGTACTTTGGTAATCAGTGCTTGTTTGGAAATGCTGTTCTTCCTTGAGGGATGCTAGACCACCTTTACAAGGTGCTTTCTTGTCACAGTCTGGAGGGACAGGAGAAGCTGAGTGTTTCAGCTGAAGGGGCTCATATTGGTTAGAAGTAGATTATGATTTTCCTGGAGATGGCTCCCATTCAAACTGTCTTGTCAGGGTTAGAGCAGAGTGATTTCTAGCCATAGGCATTTCCATAGGAAGCTGATCTTGGTCCTGCCAGACAGCACATGCCAAGGAGCTGGCGCTGGCTGTCTGCAGGTTCCAAGGGGAAGTTCTCAAATGTCACCATGGTGTTCCATGGTAGTGACATTGCAGCCTGGAGCTTGTGTCCTGGCATGCTGCAGCAGCAGGAGGGGAAGATGACAAATAGCAGTTATCAGAGCTGCAGGTGTTTGGACTCAGGAGTCCAGCAGTAAATCCAACTGCTGTGAAATGCTGTAGGCAGTGTCAGGGCAGTGCAGAGTCCTACAGTCTGTAAGAGATGTTGGCCAGGGACTCTGGCCAGGGACAAAGAGGGAAGACTGCAGCATTAGGTTTCAAATGTCCCACTGTGAAAGTTAACCAGTTAAGCACATTTTGCTCATGCAGAAGTCTCCTTGTTATTTTTGCTGAAGTGGTGGCTTTGAAGCTCCTCCTTGAGAGCCTCTTAAACAAGAGTTGTGATGGACAGGTCTTCAGCCAGTGCCCAGCCTGCTGGGGTTGCGGGGTGGCTCCTAGCCTGGACATTGGAATTTATGCTGCATGGGCAAGTCAGGCTAGGAGGAGCATCTGGGATTTGGGCATGCAGCAGCCCTGGCATGACCAGAGCAGGGGCTGCTGCCAG